GGAAGCCTCATGGTAGTTCTCTGAAATGCAAGGCTAATTGGCATGGCAAGCACCTTTTCCCTGTCAGACTACTAGCTTGTGCTCCTATCTCACCTAGAATTAGAACTATTTGCATTGTTTTGAAGAATCACTTCCTAAAGCTATTTTTCCTGTTCCATCTTATCACTCAAAACGACCATGCCCTACCAGTCCAAGAAGTGCCTGACAATTGTTTTGTCCTGAGTGGATATTAATAGTATGAACAGTAGTATATATCCTCCATGATCTGGAATATTAATTGGCCTGATTGGATGTGTTAGCAGGTACCGCCTCCAATAGGCTGGAGGTAAAAGCAGGTATAGCTTGCTTTTAAAGGCACAGGATTTACGTCTTTTCTGTAATTTATTCTTAACATTAGTACCCCATTACATCAAATATAAATAATGAACACTACCATCTTTCACAAGCCTGTACTGAGAAAAACTGAATAGAACATAATGCGTTCACACACCATGTATATGTTATTGTATGTATATGAGATGACCTATATATATAATATTCAGCATGCATAGACAGATGTCTATTATGTGTATATTTATATATAACCATTTTCCCTCTCCTGCAGACCATTACTTTGAATGCTGCCCCTCCCTTTTTGTATACTGATTGTAAAACATCCTGTATGAAAGACACTACAGAAAAATAAATGGTGGTTTTAAAATATGTTGTGCCTGCAGTTTACCATTGATAGGGATGAAAAGCTGCCCCTGATAGGTTTCATATCACGTAAACATTGGTGTAATATTAGCATCTTGGCAAATAAGCAGTAGGGAACATTAAAGAGAACGTAAAAGTCACCATCTCAGAACTCAGGATTTTGCAAAATAAGGAAGCAAGAGCTCACTCAAGCAGCACTGATGACAAATCAGCTGGCTTACTGTGGGCTGCTACATAGCTGCATCCCTTGGCTTTTCTTATTTCAATGCAAATACTTCTTTAGGACCTAATGCATAGCCATACGATGTCAAAGAAAATATTACTTTTGAATAGAATGGGCTTGGTGGACACACAGACAATATTTATAACCCACGTCTTCTGAGAAATCAAGGTGATACTGAGCAAAGGACATTTGTTGCTGGACAGTGAATGATCCCCCCTACAAGTGGGGCCAACCTTTTAGGCAGGTACGCCAAAAATTAGCCCCGTACACTCCCCAAGTGCCACACCAACCTCTTCCCCTGCCCGAACTGTTGCTCTGCTTTCTTCTTCCTGACCCACCTGCTGCTGTGCTGCCTGCCCCCACCCTGATCTGCCACATGCCACAAAGAGGCTGCTGTGCCATTTGTGGCACTTGTGCTGCAGGCCACTCCTGCCCTACAGAAAAGCCAGATGGATTGTCCTGTGTGTATAAAAGAAGACTGATTGATCTCACTTAATTCTTTGGTCCCCTATAGAGGTGGTAACCTCAACTGTGTCAGTCTCCCAAAGCTGAGTCCTTTCCTTTGAGGTCGCTAGGAGTTCCACACAAAGCAAACACACAATCCAACCTGACACATGTAGAAAGCTGTGTTTTAACTGGGTTTTAACTTCAGCTCTGCTCTGACAGGTGAATCAAAGAATCCCATCTCACTTTATGATCTACCAGATCTGCTCCATGTGTGTGCCAGAGTCAGCAGCTCAGACTTCAGGCACTACAATGAAGTTCACTGACTTAAACCAGAACAGGTTACCGGAAGTGAAATGGAGGCTGTTGCTTCATGTGCATTAGTCAAGAGAACTGTAACCAAGTTGAATCAAGTACCCATATGGAAGTCCAACATTACACTTATGTCAAATAAGGGCACTGTCTGGATACAATGGACTTAGTGTGAGGCACTAGAAAAAGATGCATTAGCCTATTTAAATGCACATTAGCAAAAGCTAGAGGTGCACTGATACATCAGTCCGATATTGAATTGGCACTGATCTAAAAAAATTGTCTATTGGAAATTAACCTGATGTGGCCAATAATTTGGCCAATAAATGCCTATGCATAGATGCAGTCACAGCACAGCACACAGGCAGCGAGGAGCGCAGCTGGCAGCTTGGAGACCTGCATGCAGCTGGTAAGTCTGTTGTGGTGGAAGGGGGAGGGAAGGAGCATGGGCGCAGATCAAGGCCCCCACGGTGAGGGAGGGAATGGGGCAGGTGCTGCCCAGCCGGGGCAGAGCAAGCCACGGGACCATCTGGAAGGCACACGTCCCCCCTCCCCCATGCCCTCCCAGGATGTGCGCAGCGGCGAGAGCCGCCCCCTCCCCCCATGCACCCTGGACCAGCTGTGGCTCCATCCCGTACCCCAGCCCACCCTGTCTGGGCAACGCCTGCCCCAGCCTCACTCCATCCCTCATTGCAGGGGGTGTTGATCTGCCCCCACCCCCGTTCCTCCCCCCACCTCCCCTTCCACCACAACAGACTTACCAGCTGGAGGCAGCTGTATCAGAAATCGGATTGGTACTGGCTGATACGCCTTCTTAAAAATCGGCTATTGGTATCAGCCCCCAAAATCTCTATCAGTGCACCCCTAGTGAAAGCAAAGGTTTTCATTCCAAAGTTGCCTATGCTTTGACAGGGAGAGGTGGAGCAACTCTGCCATTTCTAGAAAAACAAGAGCCTGAGATTTTGATGTTTGGGTGTCATCTACACTGATGAGAATGGAAAGAAGAGAGCCTGCTGAGTTTCACACAGTCAAGATTAGGTTCAGAAATGACCAGACAGACTATCGCTCTATATTTATCTGCCTCTGCTCCCAGAACTCCTGGCAGAAGACAGCAGCTACCATTACTATCAAGCTACCACATTTGTGAACTTCTAGAAGTTCTGCATGTTTCCTTCCTTCAGCCACTGAACCACAGACACAAGGCAGGTACTGAAAAAATCATAGAAGCCAGAAGAAAAGGAAGGGGCATCTCCACATGTATTGTCATCTGTTGGGCTATGGCAGAAGCTTTACTCCACTTGACAAAGGTGGTGTAACTGCTGGTAGAAAGGTGCTTGCTGCTGCCAAGTAGCTTTGGGTATGGATGCTCTTAAATCTAGTAACAGAACTGGAGTTCTTCCAGTAGAACTTAATAGCACAGACTGGGCTTTAGAATCAAAATCTCACCCCAAAGAAATGGACTCAAAGGCCTCATCCAAGCTGCCCATTGCTCACATCACTTTCTCCTACCTGGCTTTCTCTTCCCCTGCTCCTGTCAGCTCTTCCTCACACTCAGACCCTCCAGGCTCTCCTCTTTCTGCACAGCTCCTATTCAGCAAAGGTTCTAGGATCAGGACCTTAGATTCACAAGTCCAACTCTTCTCCTTCCACTGTCCTGTCTCCTTCCATGTATCCTCTCTATGCTGCTCTCTTCCTGAAGTCCCATCCACTCCACCTAAATATATCTGTGCTTTGCTATGGTGGAACAGGGAACTTGGCTTCCGCTGTGGCATAGAAGTGCTAGACTCATTTGTTGCATGAATGTATAACAGCAACACAGGGCTCCATTTCCCTGTATCAGTAATATCCATAGATTTCCCTAAGCCTCTATAACTGACCATCGCAGGCCAGATATTGGTCTAGAGGGTTTCATGCAGTTTGACAGTTTTTGTTTCTATGCATGACTGCCCTTGGCATCATGTAATGAACACAGATGTACCATTAAGTACGTAACTTTTAACTCTTGGTTATTTCTAAGATATGCCATTGACAAATACCACCCCCCAGGTGTCTGGCTTGCTCAGATAAAGTTTAATGGCAGGATTCAGTGGCAGTACAAGTTGGCCTTTTTCAGGCAAGGCTGATCACAACTGTTCATTACCCCCACCTCCCAAATAGCATCCACACCAGCTAAGCACTCAGAAAAAAAAAAGTCTAACTCCATAAACTGGCTCCTTTGCAGCTATGCACCAATGCAAAAGGAAAAAATGGTGTAACCTGGTGACAAGTCATAAAACGAAAAAAAGTATAGGCTATTTTAAGTTATAATTGCTTATCCCTATTGTCAGCTTTTTCAAGCTCTGTTCACTTTTTTCCTCCACAATACCAAAGCCCTGCTGAAGCACCTGATTTATACACACACTGTGAAGCCAAGTTAAAGGTAACGCACTGCTTCTTCTGGTAAAACATGGGGTTTTAGGGGTTTGGGGTTTTTTTTGGGGGGGGGGTCATGTCTGTCAGCAAGCAGACATTCTTTTGATTTATATATTGGTTATTGTACAGATGTGAGGGTGGCTAAGGAACAGACAGGACACTAACATATTATATTTCTGCTGTAGAGCAAACTTACCTAGAGTCCAAGGCTGGATCCATGCTGAAGGGCTCTCTGCGGGCTAGGTCCAGTATAAAATATGGGCCATGGTCACCGCAGCAGCAGTGAATCCAACAACAGTAAGGGGCCTGGCAGTGGTGGCAGGTCTTGGGGCAGTGGCAACGAGCCAAACTCGCTGCTGGCTGCCATGGCCAAAAAGGCCCTACCTTCCATGCAACTTCTAGTTGCCTAGAAAGAGGCTCCACTAGCCAGATCCAGCCCATGAGCTGTATGTTTGCTACCCCTGCTCCACAGCAATGGTGCTCAACCGCTGGCCCATGGGATGGATGTTGTTATGAAGCCTGCATGAAAAGACCACTTACCCTTATTGGAGCAAACAAATATTGTGTTATGTCAGTGTGGCTCCTGCTGAAGCTCTGCACAAACATATGAGCTTGACAGCACAGGCTGTGGCTGAAGCCACCGCTTTTGCATGGCTCTGGCCAAAGGCTACACCAACAACCTGCGAGTTCAAAGAGCTCCCCGTGCATGCAAAGTTTGGGCAATGTTTTTCTTTGGGGCCCTCAGCCCATCTGTAAAAAGGCCGAGCATCACTGCTCTATATAGTGCATTTTACTCACTTAGAACCATACCCATGTATCACTTCGAAAAAGGAGACATTTTCTACAGACAGATGCACTGGCATCTAAATCATGGACATAAATTAAGCAAAATATTACAAATTCAAACATAACCTTTTATTAAACACTGCAATTTCTAGCCCATCATCAACCACAAACAAGAGCTAGACTTACCATGCACTGGACAACATTAAGTAACTTGTCATTCATACACAAATCACCAGCAATGGACTCTTGCCTTCTTTCAAAATACGCAGACACAAGTACAGGCCAAACTAGGTTACATACACAGGTAGTGTTATTCATGTGAAATAAAATAATTTTTAAAAGACAAAAAGTTCTGTCATCACAGACATTAGCTTAAAGGGGGAGGGAGGCGCAAGTGAAACTTGCCAGTATTACACATTCATTAAAATATTTAATTACACATTGCACAGAGAAGGGAAGGAAAATTGAAAACAACATCAACAGTAGCCCAAGAAAATGATATCAAAGACAAAAATCCTCTATGAATCAAGGCGAGACTTTTTCTCCCTTATGCTGGTATCACTTCCTTTCCTTTTCTGGGAAATGGCAGATTCTTTGGGGACAGAGGCCTCAGTTTGGTTCACTTCTTCACTCAGAGTTTTGGAAGCCTGTATAGCGTGAGCGATAAAAAAAGTAATTTTTAAAATTAGTTATTTTTCTAACATTTACAGTCAGTTGGAAGATGTTTACCATACCAGGTCCATGCACCTCCTGGAGACGCCACAGGACTAGCATCTCCTTCCGAGAAAAAACAGTGCCATGGTCTAGTACTGGGTTCATGAAAGGATCCCAAAGCATTTTATAGAGTAATTGCGGAAATGTAATCAGTCCCGAGGTCGAATGCAACTATTCAATGCTGCTGGATAGCACTCTAGGAATTTTCAGAAGAGAAAGCCAAATACTATATCCAGCTGCAACGATAGAGAGACTTGCTTCCAGAATAAAATTAGAAATTAGCAAAATAATGTATCTCTCTCTCCAATTAAAAAAAAATGCTCACGGCAGGTTTTATCAAATCACAAGTGGGAAAGGACATTATTTTAGGCTTTATCTCCTGCAACAAAACATCCATGCTACCCATCTCTACAATGGCATACTGGTTCAATACTGAAAATTACCTGTTGCATTCAACAAAGCATAGTTGCTGCAGGACATTATGTGAGGAAGTCTCCCATCCAAATACTGACCAAAACTGAGCCTGCTTGGCTTGAGACAGCACTTTCAAATTATTAAGACCTGAGCCTGACATCCCCCAACCTTTATGAAAATGAACTTGCCATTCAAGCCAACTCTCCAGTTCTTAAAGGCCTTCTACTCAAAATGAGCAGTTGCTTAGGTGAAATATGTAACAGAGCTGGGTAACAACTGGAAAAAATAATTCCAGAAACAGAAACAATTGCAAAGGTATCAAAAAAGAACCAGATTTTTGTTTTCTCCCTATGTTTTTCCCCACTGAAAGCAATAAAATGAATCGTTCCCAAAGTATTTACCTCCCTCCATCCATGCATTTTCCATTTTTCTAATTTTCCAAAACAGTCAAAAGTTGGGAAAGGTCCAGAATGGCAGAAGGGAAATGAAACTCTGGCACCAACTTTTCCCATGTTGAGGAAGTTTTGAAAATGTAATGAAGTGAAACAACAAAACGCTGGATGCTCACTGTATTACAACGAGTGGGTAAAAAAGGAGAGAAAACCAACAACAAAAAGTTCCCCATCAAGTGTTTGCAGTCAGTTTTGGATGGACTTTCCCTGCAATATTCTTTTTGTTCTAACCCTCTCCTTTCACTTCTCCCAGTTTTTCACCTGTTTCATTCTACACTTGTCCTTCTTCCCACTTCCTTTAATTTTTCTTTCCAGTTGGCTGACCCCCTCCTAAGCAAACCCACCCACATTTTTGGTGGTAGGGATTTTTTGGAACGAATATGACACTGACTGTCACCACACTGTTAACTCATCTGGTGCACTGTAAACCTTCTCCCAAGCGGTGTCCATCTTGTCTTCAGACTATAAGCTGTTGGGGCAGGGAATGTCTTTTAATTTGTGCGTGCACAGGATTTTAGAGCCCCTTTGTGGGGAGTCCTCAGGCATTGCCATAACAAACATGTTTAAACAACAACAATCCAAATTTTAGGAAATATGTTTTTTTTCAAAAAAAACAAAGTGAAAATTTCAGTTAAAAAAAGAAAGCATGTGTTTAGTTCTGAATTTTCCTATTAACAAAAGTTGGCCAGCTCTAATTAACACCGTTATTTAATGTATTGCTGGCACTAGATTTATCATTCAGGTCAAAACTGTCCTACTTCTAAGTGACTGGGGATCAAACCCTCCATGGGCTGCACTGGTGGGTCTGCATGTCCACAGGCCATACCAGAGAGACTTATGGACCCCCTAGGCCACCCAGATGCCCTTCATGCATCTGCCCTCTCCCCCATACCCCAATGAGTGCAGGCCCCATTCCCCCTGATGCACCACATGCCTGTGTGACACCCACCTCACCCTCAGCTCCCAGCACAGCATTGCTATGACCCATCCCCTGGTTGGGGACAAGAAGTGGGAAGTAGAAAAGGGAGGGGGAGTCCAGAGACTCCAGCTGCTGCCGCCAGAGGAAGGTGGGGAGGAAGGGGATGGCAACAAGCCACTGCTAACTGGACAGCCCTGACTCAAATGAGTGGAGCAGCTCTCACTGCAGAGCTATTATGAAGGTGTGAAGGTGGCTGGTTTAATCAGTCAGCACCACATCTCAACTGCTTATTCCATATCCATAACAGGTTAATTTACTCTTTTATCCCAAGACTCCAGGGAAAACTCACTGCATTGGGTAGACAGTGCTCAAGAAACAAGTCAGATATGGATTGTGAATTTGGCTGAAGCCTACAGACTGCACCCCCCCTTGTTGCAGAAGTTGGGAAGTGTGTAGCAGGTGATACAACTGATGGCAGAAAGAGAAGGATGTTCTTGGGATTAACACAGCTTAATGCCAAACTGGAAAAATAAATTATATCCCTGCCCATCTGAAAAATCTGTGATGCAGGCAAGTCACGTCAAACTACCATTTTCAGCATCAGTTAACCCTGTGTTCTTTACTTTCAAAAAGTCCACATTGAGATTTGAGAGCCAAAGCTGCAGAAGTGCTGAATGCTTGTAGCTTCAAATGAAATCAATGGGAGCTGTGGCCTGAACTCATGAAGTGTTATAAAATGCTGAATGATGTGAAAATATAGGGCTCTAGGTCAGTGGTTCTCAACCTTTTAAGAATTGATATACCTCTCGGAAAATGCCAGCCTGACGAAGGGTTTTTGAACCCGAAAGCCTGCTTAATAACTATTCTCCAACCATTTGGGTTGGTCTAATAAAAGATATCAAATTCACCCAAGGAACCTTGTCTGCCTATGTCCTTAGACCAACACGGCTACAACCGAAACCCCTGCAGCCATTAATTTTCACTTTTTCTTTTTGACTACTGAAAAATTAATAGAGTAATTATTTTGTTGCAAAGAACACAAAAAGACCACAAATAGGTCAGAATATTTTTAACACTATAGGTTCCCATTTGAAACCTCTGAGCTATTCTTGTGAATCCTGTTTGCACACCTAACAGTGCTAACACTGTGCGGCACCCCTGAAAGGATTTCAAGGCACCCCCGGGTGCCATGACACCCTGGCTGAGAATCACTGCTCTATGTATTTCAAACTGGACACTCAAAATTTGAGGACTTTAGACTATTTTGGCCACATCACTTTGCTTCAGTTCCCTATCTAATCAATACCTTCCTACCTAACCCATCAGAGTGTTGAAGGTAAGTTCAATAATGCCTATGAAGCACTCAGATCTTCTAGCAGCAAGCCCTCCAGAAAACTTCAAAAAAAAGTTATTTTTATGTTCAGCACAGGGTTGGGACTATGCACAGCAAGGCACAGAGAAATCTCACTGAAAGGGAATAAAAAGGTAAAAACTGAACAACCATTCACTGAATTCTATCCTGTGCAATGAGGGAGGGAAGGCTCCTGAGGAAAATAGTATGTGATCAAATAATTAAAGATTACCATAATGCACATACATAAAAGAGGTCCAGATTAAGACTACATAGGCAACATTAATTATAGTACTCCATAATTTTCAAATACTTGCCTTGAAGCCTTAACGCTCTTTTAACATAGTTTTAGTACATAATAGAGGGATTAGAAGGCACGCCGGGAGTAGAGGCTAAAACCAGAAACTGAACTGAAAGTAGCTGGCTGGCAAGACTCAAGTGAAGCTAGCAGGGAGAGAAATACCTATGTAACATTGTATTCTATGTTCAGACCTGGCCAGTGATCCACATACTTATAGCCTCTAGGCTCCACTACTGCAATTCTCTGTACGTGGCATTTAAACTAATGACATTAAACAAGCCTGTCACTGAGTCAGAATATAGCTAGCTGCTTACCTGGCAATACACACTGCGAGAAGTGCATTATCATGCAACTCTCTTTACTTTACTGGCATCCCACTGCTTAATGGATGCAAGTCTTGGCTCTCCAAGAGAGGCCTTCCAAGAGGGGGATCTCCTGGCCCTGAGTACTGCTAGGACAGTTATATCATGACATGTCTATCAGGCACAAGAGTGAGACACCTGTGCACAGGAGACAGAGCTTTCAAATGAAGAAAGCATGCCCTTCCCAAAAAAGCTCAGTCCATATTAAATAAGACTTTAGAAAAAACAATGGCCACTGTGCAGGTAGAGAAGGAAAAAGCTTACATATAAGCAGGGATCCAGGTTTTCCATTTCCCACAGAAAAAACAGAGTAAAACGTGGATTTCCTCCTTTACCAGAGGAAATTGCGGATTTCTCATTTTAGCAGAGAAACCCATACATTTTGTAGTTTTTCAAACGAGCCCTCTGCAGACTGGCAGAGTTCCAGCCTGCAAGGGGCTGCGAGGAAGCAGGGGGAGGGCAGTCAGGCTGCGGGTGCCATGTACATGCATAGCCACATGGCTGCCAGGCAGCCTGCAGAGCAGCTCCTGCAGGTAAGTGCTGGGGAGGATTGAGGCCCCCATAGGGAGAGGAGTTGAGCAGGGCTGGCTGGGACTGCTGTCCAGCTGGGTGGCGAATGCGGGTGCAATGTGCAGCAGGAAGGCCCTGGCGAGAAGTGGGACAGGGCCACAGGTGCCTCGTCCAGGGGGCGAGGCTGGCTCCCCACTGCTGCGGGCTCAGGCTCCTGCCCTGCTGCCCTCCCCTGGGGCCTCCACAGCCCAGTGGGTGTGACCCAGCACTGCAAGGCACAGCAGGACCACTCAGGAAAGCTGCTTGCTGCTGTGAGCTCCGCACTGCCCTGGCAACACATCCCCTGTGTGCAACACTGTGCCACCACCCCTGTGCACGCAGGGGAGACATCGCCAGGGCAGCGCGGAGCTCACAGCAGCAAGCAGCTTTCCTGCATGGCCCTGCTGTGCCCTGCAGCACCAGCTGCAGAGGCCCCCCCAAAGGGCAGCAGGCCAGGAGCCCGAGGGGGCAGCCCACCCTGTCCCATGTACAGATCTGGGGGGCACAGGTTCCCCTGCCCCCCAAGTGTATGCGTAGCAGCAGGGAGCCAGCCCCACCCCCCTGCCTGAGCCCGCACCAGGCAAGCAGCCAGGGGAAACTGGGCTCCACTCCACTGCAGCAGTTGCCACCTCCTGCCAGGGGCAGGGGGCTGCAAAGCCAGGTCCCTGGCCCCATAGTCCTGTTAGCTGGGGGCCCCCTCCAGCAGGGCTGAGGGAGCAGAGGCTGTGGGAGGTAGTGAGGTGTACCAGTAGAGCTGGGGAGGCCATGTGGGTGTGGGAAAGGGGTGGGGGGGAAATGAAGGGGACAAGCAGAGCAAGGGGGCTGTTCATTTTAATCACAGATTTGGGGGGGGTTAAAATAAATAAATAAATAAATAAATAAATAAAGGAATTTGCAATTTTTTAAAATCAGGGAAAACCAGGATCCCTGCATATAAAAGTGACATAATGAAGCATATAGCTCAGAGCTTAAATCTGGATGCGGAGGGCAGCACAGAGGTTCTTGATGGCAGCATTCAGGGAAGTAGGGTTAATTGAGCACAGGATGCACAGTGGACCATTTTTGCTAGCTGGGGAGCCAAGTGTAGTAAATTTAGAGAAATCAGACAATTATCAAGGATCCAGATGCCCCCTAGTGTTACAACTGCAGCACACATTCCCAGACAAATGTGGTACTCAAGAAACCCAGCTGCCTGTAAATCTTCAGGTGAACAGCCTACTCCTTTGTCCATATTGAGCACCCCTGAGGCACATGGGTAGTTCTTAAGGCAATCCATGATGCCTGGTATAAATCTGGGCAGACCCAGTGTCAGATCTCCTCTTTCAGAGCTAGATAGACATTAGATAAAGTGCTCAAGAGCAGCACCCACGCACTTCCCCACATGCTGACATCAGAGAATGACTAGCGCCTCCTATGCCTGTGAATATTAGGTCAGTATGTTTGTAAGGACCATACAACATTTTGCTCTGGCTATGTAGCTACTGTGCTGTGACCTCTGATTGTTATTCTAATCTCCCTCATCTTACTATTCACTGTGCCCCTCCATCTATTTTTTTTTTTTTTTACTGTTATATACTTATATGGTCCCTGTTCTACTTGTTATCTATTGCACCCATGTACATGTACAGCGCCTAGCACAAAAGGGTCCTAAATCCCTGCTCTAGATTCTACTGCAGAGCAAGGAAAGCATGGGGGTCACCTTCTAGTAAATTAAAATGAACCTTTTCAGTGTGCTGGCAAAGGGATGTCATGAACGTGTTAAGAGGACACGGTCCCACTTATATAGCTAGTATACAGTTATTTTAATATTTTACAGTAGGGCAGAATATTGGCCCAAAACAAACAGGAAGGGACATCGTTTGACCCCAGTGCTCTTTCCTGCCCATGGCAGGGGGTTGGACTTGGTGATCTCCTCAGATCCCTTCCAACCCTACTAACTATGAAACTATCTTAACCAAGGGCATTGAGATAACCATGGTCATTTTCATAAATCCATGCAGACTAAATATAAGGAATGCAAGGTCTTAGCTTAGCCTTATTTCCTTACCTATATTTCGAGAGCAAGGGTAAGTTTACCCAACCAGAAATGACAAGGATTTCTGAAGGAAAACGCTAAATTCAGCAAGTTCAGCTTATGGCACATTCAGAGCATTGGCAATCCAGGAGCTGTTATGGAAAGACAAAGAAGCTACCCCCAATTAGAGAGATCCTGAAAAAATTACTTGAAATACACATCCAGAACACACATTAGGGTTAACAGGAATGAGACAAGAAGGAATGGTCTGAAAATGACACCTGAATCTGCATCATTCACTATTACTTTGAATGGAGTGGCAAGACTGAACAAGCAAAGATTAATCTACAGCCGATAACTCGACAGTAAAGTCAAAGAGTCTTTTCTTACACTCTTTTGCTGGCTTGCGTACTTCTCAGTCCACTCTTTGGCATTTCTCAAGAACAGTGGTTTGTTGTATTTATATTCTGAGGACTAGAAACAAAGCACAAGACAAAAAAAAAAAAAAAAAAAAGAGAAACTTCAGTCATGGGTTAATGAATATTCCTCTTAATCAATACAGGAGAAAGAGCAAATGTATCATGTGATCTACACTCCACAATACATGCACTAGCAAACACACAAGGGAGTTAGAAAAGAGCACATACTATGTCTGCCATAAGAGGGTCATCAGGGTTTGGCTCAGTCATCAGCAATTGTATGGAGGTCAGCAATGTGGAGATGTTCAGGGAAGGCCTCCATGCACCCTTCACAGAAACAACAATAAAAGCAAAGTTAAACAGAAAGATAAGTGAACACTTGCTGACATGGAGAGAACCCATAATTTACTGTAGTGGTGTGAAGACCTCAGTGCAGTAGGCAAAATGGATACCATCAGAAAAGATACAGCATCCAGTTTATACACTTGGGAAAGAAAAATTGATTCCCAACTAAGTAGTTCTCAACACAAGATTGTAGCCTTGCCTACAAAGAAAAAAGTCCTTCCAGGGTTGAACTGGATGTCACTCTGCTGGTTCAGTTCAGCTCCAGTGAATTTACTCAGTGGCTGCAGAGACATGGCACTCATTCTGGTCACACACGTAGATGGTGACACTTTACTGCGCAGCAAATTAGTCTACTGCATAGTAAAGCACACGTGTAGATGGGCCCAGCATGTGTTTAAAATAACGCAACACTTCCATGTCATCTTGTCCTCTATAAAATTATTAGATCAGCATCAAGATGTCATTTTAGAGGGACAATGAACTCCCAGCCTTTAAGCAGGACTGTTCAACTGGGGCCCTACAGGCCACATGCAGCCACAACTAACAGCCTACAGGCTCTCGCGCAGGCACCACCCCCAACTGTTTCTGCTACTGCTGCCATGACGGGATCTCCTGCTTCCCCCTCCCTTCTTCAACTTCTACTTCCTGCCCCTGACCCAGGGGGAAGGTTGAGTGGTGCCAGGGGGCCTATACAGCAGGTGGCCCAAGGCCACTTAAAAGCTGGACAGCCCTCCCTTGAAGTATTACAAAAGATAAAATAAGTATTTCCTAATGACAAACAAGGGTGTATGTTACATGACAGGCTTCATTATGGGTTTCCACATATATATTAAATAGTCTAAAAAGATTTCAAAGCAGACAGCAGAGTTGAGCATCCCGTAGCAACACTACTATTTCATAACACCGACTTACCTTAGGTGGTAATTTAAGAACATCCAGGCAAATCCTTCCAGCAGAGTCAATGTTTGGATGGTAAATAGGTGTCAAAAAGCAAATCTTTGGTGGTTCGAATGGGTATCTTTTAGGAAGAGGTATTAAAGAAATATTTTGCTTGAAATAAAACTTACTTAAAATTTGTTATAGTTCTGTTCTTTTGCCACATTGCAACAAATAATACTGCCACATGCCCTACCCAGCCATATGTCCTACCCAGGATCTGACTACATCAGGTAGTTTGTAGAAGAAGCAATCCCATCTCTGATCACACAGTCCAACACACCTGCCTCGATTGCTGCTAGTTTTGCTTCTGGCTCTCAGAGCACTGACTCCCTTTCTCTGGTTAGCCATTGCACTGCACCCTCATACTACTACTTACAGTAACACATGTAAGCTGCAATGGATAAAAAGAAATACAATGTCCAGACAGGTCCTATTCAAAAGTGTTCTAGGACAGCAAGACAAGGTTCCTTGGGTGAATTTGATATCTTTTATTAGACCAACCCAAATAGTTGGAGAATAGTTATTAAGCAAGCTTTCGAGTTCAAAAACCCTTCGTCAGGCTAAGGAAGTTTCAGCAGTTGATGTATGCTCTTCCAGCAAGATAATTTAAGAATCCTGCCTGCCAACATCTTTTTAAAAATGTTTTTGTTTCAGTATTAACATGCTCTTAAAGAGTTTAAAATCAATATATTAAACAAATAAAAAATTAAAAATTCAGTGTCAGAAGCAGGGGGGCTAAACGCAAAAGGCCAGACTTGCAGCGTTACCCCAATGCTCCAGTCCTTCCAGTACACAGCACACCACCTGCTAATGTCTTACACAGACTAACTGTTTGAAAGGAAGGTGAACATGAAGTTTTTGCCTTACTGATCATGTTCCACTTTCCTGGATGATATCAACTATTTACCTTTCAGGGACAGTTATTTCCAAGTTGAAAATTCCCTTTTCATATGGTGTGCCTTCACCACCTAAAATTTCTTAAAGGACGAAAGAAGTTAGGAGTTAGGTATCTATAACATTCAAAATGTGTAAATCTCAACACCCTCTCCCACTTCCACAAAAAGTCACATTTGCTAGTCACTGCATCCCCTTCCCACCCTTACATAGTTGTAATACTACCCGAGTCAGACAACAGAAGCAGACTTCATCACTTTGTCAGTAAATCTGTGATCTATCCCACCAGTACACACAGGCCCATGACTTTTTCAGGAGACTTAGCAAAGGTCCAACCTCTCCTTTAGTTGTTCAGCTGTGGAAGGGGAGGGGAAAACTGTACTAGTTGTACTCAGCTAAACTGATGTTCTGTGCAGTATGGGATGAGGGAAGATTGTATAATCTCCTTTTGAGCTGACATAAGATTTATGCCTGTTCTCCAGGCCTGTCTCAACACTTGCTTGCTTCTCCAACTTCAGAAGTCATCGTGTATTTTAACTTCTGAAGGCCAGAAAACTGTCAAGTTCCAGTCTGTAAGCATGATAAAATAACCATGATGAACCATCAGCCAACTGTAAAAGTCAACCAAACTAATGCTCAATTTCAGAATCAGAATTAAGAACTGTCCTAGAGCCTAAACATTTCCATAAGATGTTATGTTTAGTATCTCAGAATTAAAAAGTTAAAACCCCAATACCGCTCCAATGTATTGTATATTCTGGGACTCAGCGCCTGAAGAGAAATGACTTTGGAGGGACAAAGGCTATACTGTATTACACAAACAGAATTCACAGGGCCTTCCTCTTGACCAGAACCTGTGGGCATTTTTACATGTGCTCCCAAGTGGCACCAGGTGCTTTTAATTAGCGAACCACACTAATCAAAAGTGCCTGCGCATCATGTGTATCAGTGGCGCAGCACACCTCGTCCACACTGAGAAAATGGCAGCGGCATGCTTTGAACTGAAGTACTTAGCATATTTTAGTTCAAAGTGCACCGCCACAATTTTCTCAGTCTGGAGGCACGCTGCACCGCTGATGCACATGATGCGCAAGGCTGCCAGAGCACATCAATTTACATGCTCCATGCTTTACTGGATTTCCAGCACACCGGAGCAGGCTCCCCACACATAAGCACCCTGTATTCCCAAGCCTCAAAGGCTCAATGCCATCTGTAACACCCATCTGCATGCCTGCGTACACAAATCCTCGAGCAGTATTGAAAAGCCAGAGTCAGAGCTCCAACCGAAGCTTAAAAAGCTTCAAGTGACAGATGTCTCTATGAGCTTAAAAGCAAGCATACCACAGAGTACCTGTTCCCCTTACTCCTTCTATTGTTCACACTCCCAAGCCACAAGCAACAGTGATCCAAATGATGAGGACATACCAAGAAGTGACGTTCCACAATACATGAGTGGATAAGAATTAAGCAAATATTTAACCAGTTCTGGGTAAATTCATCCCGTATAAAAATCTACAAATTGTTATTTATTTATAATCTACATATATATCTATCTCACTCATTAGACACGTCAGTGAGTCATGCCAATCGGTTCTGTCAAGACTCTAGAGCAGCGGATCCCAACCTTATTTATACTGCGGGCCGGCAAACTCACTCAAATCATTTTGACAGACCGGGCATAGAAACGATCTAATTTACATCTTTAAATTTAATTTTTCGGTGGAAGGGGGAGGGAGGTTTGCAAGGATCGGAGGCAGTTCTCTCTGTCGTTCAGAGCTTCATCGCCCCTTTTCACAGAAGCACTCTCCCCTTTTCACAGAAGCCCTTTTTCCAAAAAAAAAAAAAAAACCACCCAGACCAATCCACTGAAATTTGCTCGATCATCTCTTAGCCCTCGCATTCGATACAGAAGGGACCAGCCACAGTCCAATTTCAGAACCTGAAGCCACAGTCGCTGGCCAAACGAGGAGATCCTCGCCCAATCAACCAGCATGGCGCGGGCGCGCACACGGCCTGCGCACAGAACTGTTGCCAGCAGTGGTTAAAGCTCTTGCCACGACCCGGCAGCCCGGTGGGTGGAAGCCTCCGCTCGAGAGCCCAGCGGCCCCCCCACCGGCCTGGCCCGGCCCCGCCCGGCTGTGAGGTGGGGTGCCGCTAGGACCGGCCACCACTGCTTCTCCCCGCGGCGGCATGGCACGGGGTACGAAGTCCAGGCCGCTTGGCGAAGCCGTAGCTGTAGCCGTGTCCACCTCCATTGGCTCCGCTGCCAACCCCCGGTTTAGACTCTTTCCGCTGGAAATACGTACGAGCGCGCAGGTCGTCCGCCCGGCTTTTGTTCTGCCAACACGTGATGCCCGGGGGGGGCTCCGTGGTCAGTAACATAAGCTCCCTCTTCAGCCGCGAGGCCCTCTGCATGGTGCTGCAACGCAGCCCCTCCCCGCCGGCCGGCCGGCCGGCGCCGCCCCCC